GAACACTTGACTTATGAAATATATGCTCTTATTTCTTCAAATTTATGAATAAGCTGATTATGTATCAACACAGTTGATATGGTCAACTTGTTAAAGCTTTTGATATTTTGATTTTTTCCCTCCAAAGCATGTAAATCTTATTCTTTTGGTTAAAATAAGTTGATTTCTTAAAAAAAAAGTGACATAGTCAGAAAATTGCTTTAGGTCAAGGGCAAAGGTAGAACATTCCCCCTCATTCTTCTGTTCCTCCTACTGTAAATTCTTCCTGTGACAAACCTTTTTCTTTTCTTTCTCTCTTTGTATATCTCCCATTCCTTTCCCTTCTATTTATTATTATTATTTTAACCTAGCCTCTATGACAAAGAGTCCTCTTTGTGCAGTGGTTAAACTCTTGGCTACGGAACAAAAAGCTGACCATCCAAATCAGTTCAGTGCTGTGTGAGACAAAGTCTTGGAAATCTCCTTCCATAAAAATTTACTGGTTTTGTGCCCTTCAATAGATTTTCAGAGGCTATAACACACAACAAGGAAATGTATTGCGCTTTGTCTCCCAAAGAGCAGCTAGTGGGTTTGAACCTCTTGTGTTTAGATGGGTAGTGGAACTCCTTACCACCAGACCACCAGAACTTCCTAAACGTTATAATCCAGAAAATGCTGTCTAGTGGTTCTACTCTGTGACATGTGGTCACTAAAAGTTAATAATCCACTCAGTGAACAAAATGAACAAAAACAAACCTCTGTAATTGCTAATAGGGTAAATTTATTGTAGAAGATATGTTTTAATACTTTTATCAATAATAGCTCTGTATCGGTTATCACTTAACTTCCTCAAACGTAGAAAGGAAGGAGAGGCTTTGGTAGATCCTGTGATAATTCTGATGCATTTGATTTCTTACTTTGGTTTGCCAGTGAACAGGCACATTCTCTCCTTAAAGTTATTCCCTAGATGATTATATAGGTTTGACGCTAGATTCAAATATTACACTTTTACAATAGATTAAACAGTATAATTTGTGCTGCTCACAACTTGGTGTTTCTCAAATACATACAGACTGAAGTTTTTTTCTCTGAAAAGAAAGAAATTTTCTTTTTGAAACATTCTTTAGAATGAAATATAGGCAAATTCAGCCTTAAAATGTTAAAAAGTAATTAATTTAATTTTTAAGTTATTTTCTCTCAAAATTGGCTAAAATTTGAATATGTTATACTAACTTGCCTTTAAATATGGGGAAATTCTGTACAATAAAATGAAGTAGAGATTATAAGAAATCACCCCAATTATTTGGTAAAATTTTGCCTCAGATTTTAGCAGTTTATTAATAAATGCTTAATATATCTATCAGTCTTTAGACATTAATTAGTTGGAACCATGTACTGCTCCTTGACTATGACTGCAACGGTATAGGCAAAGAAGAAGGATTTCCAGACCTACATTTTCAGTAGCATTCAGTAGCCACTTAAAACTTTGGAACTACAAAGCAAACACTCTAGGAATTTATTAATTCCTTTTAAGTAATACCTTCTCTTCATCTATCAACTATCTTATTAAATGACATCTCTAGTTTGTAACAATAGTGAAAGAAAGCGAAAGAAAACATATTTCCTGACAATTTGACCCATTAATTATCCGCTTCTGGGAGTAAAAAAAGAAAGTAAAAGTTGTGAGGTAAGTGTAATAGTCAAGATTACAGTTCATTATGCCTGGGCCACACTGCTCAGAGGTTCAGAAACTTTATATTGGTGTAATCAAATAGTTATATAATGATGTAGTCATCTTCAACATTGTAATAAAATAGAATAATTTTCTATATGTGCATATTATCAATTTTGCCTAACAATCTGATCTATAGAGACTAGTAAGTTAATAAATGGAGAGAAGGTATAGTAAGCTTGCATTTTGAAGGTCTGTTAAATATTAAAAATGTATACTGGTTAAGGGAGTTGTGGTGGCCTAGTGGTACCCTCTGGGGGGTAAGCTATGGGTCGATTCTGACTGTATGGTAATCAAGAATAACAACAATTTGCTGTTTAAAGATGCATGAGTCTAGCAGTTCATTTTTCTGATGTAGATAATGGGGAGAAAACTTTAGGGGCTAATAGGATCTTTGCTCTTTTCTTAGACATTGTCACTTTGTAATTTTATGTTTAAAAGATGGAGTGCTTCAGAGTTTTAGGAAAACCAGATGGCATCTGATATCTAAGAAAAATAATCCTAGCTTTTATAAAGTGCTTTTGACAACTTGTCAGCGGGACAGAGAAGATTGGTCTGGTCCTGAATTGCTTTTCAACCAAAATAGGTTCCCCTCAATGAACAGTGGCAGTGACAGTGAATCAAGTGTCAAGGTAGAATGCACATTTGGGATCAGTTTAGCATAAATCAGCATTCAGGCAGGAGTTGAGTTCAATTCTTTATATGACTTTTTTTTTTTATCTCTCAACTAAAGAGACATATAACTTTCTTACTGTTTGTCACTCTCGACAGTTGCAGTGGAGAAAAAATATTTTCTTTGCGTTCTTGGGCTTGTTCAATAAGTGCTTAGAGGAATGATATGCTGTAATCAGATTTGAATTAGAATATGACATCAGTGGTTTTTTTTATTTCTGTGCATTATTGTTGTTGTTGTTATGTGCTCCCAAACCCCTGCGATGTATTTTCAGAGATTGTAAATCACGCTGGAGGAGACTTTCATCTTTCTCTTGCTGAGGAGGAGGGGGTGGATTCGTCTGTCTGCCACTGGGTTGGCAGAGCAACTCTTTACCATTCGGCCACCAGAACTCCTGGATACTTCTGTGCTTATTCTAGTGTAATATGCTGTTCTGAATACAAACATGGAACAAATTTGTTTTTATAAAATGTATTTATGAAATAAATCATTTGTACAAATGCAGTTGTTGTATACTTGATGTATTCACTAAATGTATACTTTATAAAAACCTTGCATTAGCTTATATGCTGTACTACCTCATGGTAAAATAACATTTTGGACATCTGTTAAAGTAATTGTTTTTTTAATTTCTCTCTTGATTTTTTTTATGAATTCTAAAATCCCAGTTTATACTGTGCTTCCATTTATTTATGTACTTGTGTTTGTTTCTTGAAATCAATCTATCATTTTCATTGATGTTCACGCATTATGGGAAAACCAGATATCCTTCTTAGTATGTTCTTTTGTGAAATTATCTGTAGTTTTTATGTATTTCATTTACTGACTGGTTTGTATCACCTGAAAACCAAGTTTCTTTGCTTTAATGAAATTCATCTTTTCTTTGTGATTAGCTTGTAATATTTTTTCTTCCATGTTATCAGCTCATTGTTAATTTTCATGAATTTTTATACATCATTTAAATCCATGTTATGTTTTTCATACTTGCTTTTCTGCTGTATTATTTAATACAATTATTTAATATGATTATTTAATAATTCTTTGGTGTCCTTAATATATTACAAAAATTTTCTATCTAAAGAAGTCAGAGTTAATCTCCGTGACAGAAGCATCTGTTAAGTTCAAAGTTAATTTTCCTTTTTCATCCAACACTTTCAGTAGTGTTCTACTCAATGAGGGAGAATATTAAGTAATCATAATCTTAAATATGGTAAACATGGTAAATATAAATATGTGCAGTGAAGGGAAAATTAAAATATA